TGGTTGCAGCCGTCATTGTTGTTTGGCGGGTCTGGGCTGGGGATTCGAACCCGCCACCTTAGGTGTACGTGGCTGGCACCTTAGCCGGTTGAGCTAATTTTTAAATTTTTTGTAGTGATGGAGTCCTGTTGTGTTGCTCAGGCTCAAGTGATCCTCCTTCCTTGGCCTCACAAAGTGTTGGGATTACAGGTGTGAGCCACTGCACCTGGCCTATTTAGTTGTCTTTGAGAAAGCTTAGTCTTTGCTTATATGGAATACAGTATCTACATCTCTATCTCCTGTGGTTCTGTTTCACTGGAGAATACTAATATACATCCTCTCAGCCGGAGCTTGTTAAAAGGGCCCCCTAGGTGCAAGAGAAGCTGCAAATGTCTCTCCTATCTTTGGAAGGTGTTACCTGTCTACCCTGGATGCCACAGCAAAGCACCACACACAGTTATTTCCTCATAGTCATGGAGGCCAGAAGTCAGAGATTAAGGCATGGGCAAGGCTGGATGCTCCTGAGTCCTCTCCTTGGCCTGCCATCTTCTGTGTCCTCACATGGTCATCCCTCTGTGTGCGTCTGTGCCCTAATCTCCTCTTCTTTTAAGGATACCAGACTAGATTAGGGCCCACTCCAGCGAACTCATTTTAATTTAATTACCTCTTTAAAGGTGCTGTTTCCAAATATAGGTACAATCTGAGGTCCTAGAGGTTAAGACACCAACATAAGAACTTGAAGGGGGCTGAATTCTGTCATTATTAGAAGCCATATGACCAACTAGAAGCTCTGTTACCATGAGAGAAGGCACCCTAAAGGACAGATCTCCCTTCTTGGAGACCTGGGGGGTTGGGTGGACCCAATCTGAGGTCTCACCAGATTTGTGAGCATCTGCTGGTGTGACCAACATGCTGCTGTCAAATTCCTCTAACAGGAGTGTCCCTGACTAGAAGAGGCCATGTGGCTGTGCTGGGCAAGCCCTAGCCTCAGAGTCATGGGCTGGTCCTGCTTCCAATTTGGGCATTACCACCATGTCATAACCCCAGCCCTAATCCCCTAACCAAGGCTGTCAGCTCCCACCTGTGCATGATGGGGTGTCTAAGATCAAGTCTATTGACTCCCAGAGGCTAAACCTGACCCAACTACTAAACCTAGCACTTAAACATCTCTGTGCCTCAGTTTCCCCAACTCACCACGGTGGCCACAAGAGTGGTGAGATGAGTCTGGACACTACTGATGTCACCATGACCACCTCCTCTGTCCCTATCTTCAGAGCTCTGAAGCTGGCTGGTGGAGCCCAGCCCTGTGCCCCTGCCAAGGCAGAGCCAGGGCTGGGCTGCTTTGGAGCAGGACCAGGTGGGGACTGGCCTCCCTGTCTCATCCCCATCCGTTTCCTCAGCCTCAGCCAACTCTCTAGTGGCCTGTGTGTGTGTGTCTGTGTGACAGAGAGGACAGCAGGATGATCAGACCCTTGAACCACCCTTGATGAGGTCTGAGTGGTTCCTCACCTCCAGAATAGGGGCAGCATTGCTCTCCTTCCTTTGGGAAGTGAGGAAGCCATGAGGAGAGAATAACAGGAAACCATGGCCACCCCTGGCAGGGACTGGGAAGTGGGGTCTGGGACCCCCACGCCTGGCCAATTTTCCAGTTCTCAGCTACCCGCCCCTACTGGGAGTATCTGGCAGTGGCTCCAGCTGCAGCCTGGCCCCTAGCAGGGGGACAGCAGCCCAGGGTCTCAGGCTAACCAGGCTGATGCAGAGGGTCCAGGAAGGCTTCCTGGAGGATGGGGGTTGGAAGAACTACCACACATAGCTCTGAGCCCTCAAAATGTGGCCCCAGAGACTTAGGGGCTGTAAGTTCCACTATGTTTCCTTTCAGCCCATTTGCATTTAAGCAGCCCTGGGTGGTGGTGGCTTTAGGAGGTCTTGGCACAAGAGATTAGGAATGTCCTGAGTGGGCTCAGCTGGGACAACAGGTTAGCCCCTCGCCCTTCCTGCCAGCCAAGCTAATTTCTCCAATGGCCACGGAGCAGGCTGACGTGAGGCCATAGGAACGCACCTCCCACCCCATGGGTGTCGTCTCCACCTGGTGGTGTCCTGTCTGGCTTCCGCTCCATCCTCATTGTGGTAGCTGGGAGGTGCCAGGTCACCCTCAGGAATGCCTGGGAAGAGGAAGGGGCAGCAGCCAACAGCCAGGGAGTGGATTCCAGGGAGCCCAGCCAGTCTCAATTGGGAAGCCAGCCAGCTGGAGGGGTGCTGAAGGATGGAGGAACTTGGGGAGGTCATGTGAGGTGCTCTGTGCCCCTCACCATGGCCTGACACTGGTCAGACCCTGATCTTGGGGCTTGGGTGGGGGGTGGGGACAAGCCTTGAGAGGGTTGTAAAGTGCAAATAGGAGCCTGAGGGACTAGGAGCCTGTAGCTAGAGAAAGCAGGCTAATGGGCAAGGGCTCAAAGGCCAAGTCCAGGGCCTGCCTGGGACCTGAACACACTGGGAAGTCACATGTTCAGACAGGCCCTTTCTGCAAAGATCTGGGTCAGGAATTCATGGATCTTCCCAATAGTAACCGAGCCCCAACTTGAGCTGGATGCTGTCCTAGCCTCTAGAAATTTGGCAGGGGGCGAAGACAAAGGCTCCTGAACCCTCTTATAGGCCCATCTGTGCCCTTCTTTGAAAAATCCTGTTTCAGCAAGAGCCCTGCTGAGTCCATTCCCCAGAATCCCCCACCCTCAATGATGTCTGAGCAGTTCCTCATCCTCCTTTCTTCCCTGGGGGACATCTGGTTACCCTGGCCTGGCTTCAGTGAAGATCCTGTGGGGGTTGGTTCAGCCAGAATTTCTGACACCTGTGTCTCCTCTTATGCACTTTCCATCTGTAGACCCCTGCCCAAGCTATTTTTGAAGTTGAGCCCAGTCTCTGCCCCAGGGAATGGTCATGGGCTCAGCACCTATCCAGAGGGTCTTGATTAAGTCTTCCTTGTAGACGTTAATAAGTATCAGTGAGAACTTTTTCTTTAGCAGCTACAAAAACCTCTGTTTGCCTGGAACTCCAGGCCATAAACAAATCATTTTGAGTGAGTAGAATCTAATGAGGCCCCAAGAGGCCAGCCAGGAGGGCACAAGGTAGACCAGGCACTATGACCGTTGGGTGCAAATGGGTCACCTACGTTCAGGAAGAGGTCCTTGTGCATTGGGAGACCATCCCTAAAGAGTCTAGCGACCGAGAGGTGTGCATGGGGACATCAACCCCCAAGAAAGCACTGTGGGGTGGAAACATCACATGGGCCTGTAGTTCCCACCAACATTGTTCACTCTGAGATCAGCCACAAGTAGACATCGTGTAAATCTTCAGAGGGCCATTCTGTGTGAGGACAGGCTGGGCTCCAGGGTGGACTTGGTGTCCCACATTCAAGGAGAGTGAAGACATGTACCAGGGACTGCCAGGGGCCAGGAGTAACACTGGCTGGACAAAAGGGGCAGTTTCTAAGGATAGGATTGGAGACAGTGGAGAGGTCGGTGGTATCTGGGCACCGCAAAATGATTGGGGACTGGTGCGACTGTGGGAGGACAGCTGTCCTTATGCTTTGGAGATGCTGAGGTTGGAGCACTCTGCCGTCCAACAAAAAATAAAAAAATTAAATAGATGGACGGATAAGGCAGAAGCAGCAAAATGTGTACAGCTGTCAATGCGATAGAAAAATACTGTGCATGGTGGCTCAACCTGTAATCCCGGCACTTTGGGAAGGAGGATCGTTTGTAGCCAGGAGTTTTAGTCCAGCCTGGGCAACATAGTAAAACTCTGTCTCTACGAAAAATTAAAAACTTAACGGGGCATGGTGGCGTATGCCCGAAGTACCAGCTACTGGGGAAGGCCAAAGAGGGAGGATGCTTTAGCCCAAGAACTATGACTATGCCACCGCACTTCAAGCCCAGGCGGCAGAGCTGAAGACCTCGTCTCTGAAAAACAAAACAAACTAAAGTCATACTTTTAGATTGGCACAGTAGCCGCAGATGAGCAGGGACTACATCTTCTACCCAGAAAGAACAGTGGAGCCTGTGCACTGACAGACCGAGGACCCGCCCCTGTCGGCCCCCACCCCACCCACTCCCATTCACTCCCACACACACTCGCATTGCCCCGCCCCTGACGCAACACATCCGAACCTTACGCAGAACGCCAGCCCCGCCCCACCCGCGTCTCACAACAACTTTTGCACCGCCCCTCACGCACATACAGCGGCGCTGCTCCACCCTTCACGCACATAGATCGCGATATCATGGCCTCTTCTGCATATACGCCCGTGCTACCCCGCCCCTCACGTCCGCTCCGCTTGCCCCTTCCCGCTCCCTTTCCGGCGGCCGCCGCCAGAGGCTGCTGTGGTGCCTGCCTGCCCTCGCCACAGCTACACTCCTGCCCAAGATGGCGGCGGCTGTGTTGCTTCGGGGTGCGGCTCTGTGGCTTGGCCCGGCCTGGCGTTGGCGGCTACGTGGGACACCGAGGCGCCACCTAGCCCACAGCTCCGGCCTTCCCTGCGGTGACCCCGAGGGCAGCGCGATATGGACTTACTTCCGGCTGGACGAACGGGCCCTGGTGCGCGTGCGCGGACCGGACGCAGCGCCCTTCCTGCTGGGGCTACTAACCAATGAGCTGCCGCTTCCGGGGCCCACGGACGGTGCAGCCCAGCCTTCTGTGCGCGCGGGCTACGCCCACTTTCTCAATGTGCAGGGCCGGACGCTCTATGACGTCATACTCTACGGGTGAGAGTGGGCGTGGGGCGGGCGGGGTGATTTCCCAGATGGCGCATTTACGGGGTGGGTAGGGGCAGACGGGCGGAACGTGAGCAGGGGACCCACAGCAGGGGTGGAGGACGTCCGCGGTCCGCGGGGACGTGGGGAACGGGCATCCAAGATCAGGCTTACAGAGGCAGGAGGTGGGAAGCAGGGTCGGCAGCAGGGGAAGAAAGGGCCGCCAGTGAAGCCTATCCTATCCGGGCTGGACGGGTAGGAGAGGGTCCCCTGGGAAGACCAAGGTAGACGGTCAGGGAAGAGAGCGTCCCCGGGGGAGGCCGAGCTAGACATCCAGACGAGGGTCCCGGGCAACGCTAGACTAGACGTCAAGGGATGGGCCAGTGACTAGCCCACGGTAAGGCCTGGGCACTCGCGGTCTCAGGGCAGAGCCTCCCTGCACCCTGCCTCTCGAGGTGTACTCCTCTCCACTGCAGGGACAAGGGCTCGGGGATTACCGCTTTCGGGTGCAGCTGTATTTCGAAGACACAGCTGGTGCTAGTACTCCCCGAGTTCTCTGGTGTGCCCCTTGTTCCTCACTTCCCCTGCCCAGAGCTTCCCATGTTTGATCACCTTTACTGACGTCCTCATAAGCGTGAGTGATGTTCTTTGCTAGGTGGGTCAGGGCCTTGCAGGTTCTCAGCATTGGTTGGGTTTTTCCTTGAGACCTGAATCCCTGAAATCGTAGCAGAATCTCCCTGGGCGTGTGTATAGAACCCAGGCTGGGGTGCTTCCTGGAGTGGTCCTTGGGTGTCCGTGGAGCTGGTCCTGCCCTCCTCCTCCTCCCTCCTCTCTGTCCTCGACTGCTGCCTATGCTCCTTGTCTTCCTCTTCCTTGGTTTTGGAGGAGCTCCTTCTGGAATAACTTTCTAAGATGTGGTGGAATGAAGTTTGGAGCTCATTGTATCTTGGCAAAAAGCTTTATAACTTGGCAGCATGTTAAAATTTGGGGTTGGAAAGTGTCACCGAGAATGTTGCATCACAATTTCATTTTCTCGCTGCCAGCTCTTCCATGGAGAAGTCCAGTGCTGTTCTTACATCCAGGTTTTTATAAGTGGCTGAAGCAGTCCTCCTTAGTAGCTGGGACTATAAGTGCACGCTACCGTGCTTGGCTAATTTTTCTGTTTCTTTTTTTTTAAGTCTTGCTTTGCGCAGGCTGGTCTCAAACTCCTGAACTGAAGTGATCTTCTAGCTTGGCGCCTGTAGTTCAGCTGCTAGGGTGCTGGCCACATACACTAGGGCTGGCGGGTTTGAACCCCGCCTGGGCCTGCCAGACGACAATGACAACTACA